CGGCTGCCGCCGCCGCCGCCGCTGCGACACCACGGAGACTGGGCTGGTGCCGCGTGGGTCAGCCTGTGTCCCTTTAGTGACAGGAGCCCCCCCTCCCCGGGCGACAGTGACTGTGGTCAGCTAGCATTGTGTGTCCCTCTGCCTGTGCCGGTGTGTGTCTTGGGGCGAGGCTGCCTTCCTCAGTGACAGTATACAGGGGAGCGTCACGCACCTCTTTTCCCGGGGACTTGCTTTCCTGCTGATAACGCCAGCTAGGAGAGCCGGACGGGAAAGGGGTGGGGGTGGGGGTGGCGGCAGGAAAGGCGTGGAAGCTGATCCGTCCTAAGGAACACAAGTTACTGGAAGGGGGGGGGGGAGGAAGGAAAAACAAAACCCTAGAAGCGAATTCGATCCCTTTGTGACGAATTGGGTTTAGTCAAGAGCGACAACTGTTAAGGACATCCTTTCACTCACTCCCCTCTTGGTCTGCTGGTTTGTTTTTAAAATACTGGTTTCTTCGTCCCCGGCTTTTAACTGCACAGCCGGATTAAGATGCAAGCAATGCATGCACGCCTGCGTACACACACACACACACAAACACAAACACAAACACTCATGCACGCCAACACAGAGAAGGAGAATTATGCTATGCAAATCAGGTTCGTGGACCAGGCAGGGTTATCATTAAACCGACTGTAACGTGTGGATGGGCGGCTGGGAGTATGTCCCCGTGTCTTTAAAGCTAGTGACATTTAGAGCTGGTCGGGACTGCAGTGACACTCAGTTCTCCGGGGCCGAACACGGGCTTATTTATTTATTTATTGGTGCGGGGGGGCGGGGGGAGAGAGAAAGAGAGACCACGAGAGGCCAGAGAGCTGTCTGGAAGGAGAGAAAGCAGTAAAGGCTGGCTTTAAAATTGCACTCTATATAAACAATATGAAGGGGAGAGGGAGCGGAGGGGAGGGGAGGCGGCCCGTGGGGGTTTTAGTGCGAGTAATTCTACGTGACCTCTCCGTGTGTCTCTGTTTGAAAGCCATTGTGTCTGCCCACCCGGTCTGTCCGTCTGAATGAAAGGAATGTCGTAAACCACCACTATCAGGGCACCTAGAGGCTTCAGGAGAAAGGTGGCCCAAGGGGCTGGCTGTTCTGGAGGAAACTCCACACCAAAATGGTGTTGATCTTCTGCTTTTTTGGGGGGGGACTTCCTCAATCTCAACCCCTGCCCTTGTTTCCTTTGCAGATAATCCCGCTGCCAATTGGTTACACGCGAGATCCACGCGAAAAAAGCGCTGCCCTTACACCAAGCACCAGACGCTGGAGTTGGAGAAAGAGTTTTTGTTCAACATGTACCTCACCAGGGACCGGCGGTACGAAGTGGCCAGGCTTCTGAATTTAACGGAGAGACAAGTGAAAATCTGGTTTCAGAACCGGAGGATGAAAATGAAGAAAATCAATAAAGACCGAGCAAAAGACGAATAAAGAGGGTGCGCGTTGCAGGTTCATCGCGTTTCACGGCAGCGAAATCTCGACCCAACCCCCCTACGCTCCTCGTCTTCTCCAACGCAACACAACACAGCCCCCCTTCTACCCTTCTGAGGCTGCGCCCAGGCCTCACGTTATTTGCGTTTTTAATATATTTTTTTTAAAGAACAAAATTTGTGGTTGTTTCTCGTTGGCCAATTCTGCTTTTGAAAGCACCTCTCCAGCGTGCAGGGAGATAACGGCTGGGCCCCGGTGCTACGATGGAGGTATCCTGATTTTCAATTTTCTTTCCCCCCCACCCCTTAACCATAGGAAAGAGAGAGAGGAAGGAGGCATTAACGCAGCAATGCTGATTTTCTATTTTTGTTTTTGTTTTGGCTTGTCTAAATCTACCTGTCCTGAAAGAAAGAAAGAAAGAAAGAAAGAAAGAAAGAAAGAAAGAAAGAAAGAAAGAAAGAAAGAAAGAAAGAAAGAAAGAAAGAAAGAGAAAGAAAGAAAACTACCTTTTTAATGCACAATTCTTTACGGACTATATAGGTTAGTCGAAGTAGTTAATTTTATTTGCTCTTTGCGCGGCAGAGAAAGGTCTGATTGAATACTTGAACACTGTGTTTTATTGTGGTAATTATATTTGTGACTCAATTTTTGTGCTTCGGTGCTGTATCGGATGTGGTCCTGTAAGCTAGAATTCAATTTGAACTCAGGTTGTTTATTATAAGGTTGCATAGAGTATAGCTCTGTAGTGTAAGGAGTCCTTTCTGCCCCTTATCCTTATTAGACAGTTACCCTTGGATTGTATGGGAGGGGAAAACCCAATTTGCTGTCTCCCTGTCCCAGATTTTAAACTGAATGGGAAAAAAATGTATCTGGGATGGGAAAAAGACTCAAGGATCCCCACCACCCCAGTTCCTTTGGAGCAAGTCATTTAAGTATGCACACTTGATCTATATATATAGTACAGTCATTGTCAGTTGTATATATATATATACATATATATATATACATACATATATATATAATCTATATATTAAAGAAAAAATCCTTAATCATCAGACTAGCTTGAATATTGTTTTTGCACCTGTGAGCAGTTTTCAGATATCGGAGCTATACCTATATGTGAAAAAGGTGACTACCTATGGTTTACGTTTTAAGTTTAATCAAAAATTTGATTCCTATTGTAATGAAGTTTAATTTTATTGATAATAAATTATGCAGTCTAAAAACAACAACCTTTGGTTATTGTAGATTTGTATCGATTATTAAAAAAAGAAATAAAAATTTAAAAAGTCCTGGAAGTTATGTTTATGCAGAAGCTACACTGTATATTTTGCCATAGTTACCTCATGGCCTACTGACCAAATAGTTGTGTCCAAATGATATTTAACTTTTTGCTAAATAAAATATATATTGATTCTTTTATATTTTTGTGCTGCTTTAAGATTATTAAGTGCACAGCAATTTGCCCGAACCCTGCCCAGATATGGCATCTACCTTGTAGAAAACCCCAAAGCCTAACTTTGATTCAAAACATGGTTATTGGAAAGAAAAGCTGATTAAGTGTGACAGAACTTACCTCCAAACTGTTATGCTAAATTGAATAGATAGGCAGGTAGACAGACAAAAGGATTTTGTATAACCAGATAGTGGGCCTAAGTTTCCTCCCCAATAAACATCCCATAAAGGATATTACTAAACTCAAGCCACCCAGTGTTTTTTAGAGAATCCTTTACAGAAAGCTGAAAATATTAATTACAGTATTTTGAATGGCTTTCATGACTGGAAATACATAGCGGGCATTAAAAAACACCGGGCCAATAATATTGGTGACCTTTGTCAGTAAAAACACAGTTATCCAATCGAGTTTGCCCTCACCTCTCTTACGATGCTAAACGAGCTTTTGGGGGTGAATAAACCATAGACCAAAACGAAAGGCATGCAAGTTCAGTCTTGTTCTTCCTATAGAGACCACATTTGTTGTGAATCTCCTTATGGTTTCCTGCTCTTACTGCAGTCTCTCTCTCTCCTAGCTACTGAGGTAAACATGCTGCAGTTCATGCAGCCAGACGTGGATGCATGCCTGATGAAAAAAGAGGGGGGGATGGGCATTATAATTTTCGAGAAGTTTTGATCCTTGCTTTTGTCGTTTTAGTTGGGTTGATCACATGGAGCCCTTTTTTTGAAGTGAGCGGCTAATTGGAATACTCAGTTAAATACAGGGAAACATCTTTGGGGGGGGGAAGCTTGAGTCAGACTAGGCAGAAACAAAAGGAATTCTGTTGTGGTGAAAGTCCGTCACGCCTTAGGCTTGGTGCTCAGTGGGCGGAGAAGGCGCCAAGAATATGGCAAGTGAAAAAGATTTTTTTTCCCTTTTTTTAGGTGCACAAGACCAAACACAGCCCCCCCCCCGGCCTGGATCTTGCAGCATGAATGCCCTGGTTTATTTTAAAAGGAAAAAAAAAGCTAGCACACTTCCAGCTAACAAGTCTTGGCTAAAGATGCTGTTAGAAAAATTCAGAGCCATGAAGTGCAATAAAAGAAAATGACGGCTGTAACTGTTTATGGGGTGTAAAATGCTGGAAGGCTAAGACAAGAATTTTCAAGAGCTTCACATTTATGAAAGTTAGAATAGTCAGGGCGGAGTGTGCTTTTTATTTTTAATTTCTGGTTTCTTTGTCTTCTTTTTTTATTTTAAAGCAAAAAAAAAGTCTGATAAGACATGTTCGATTAGTTGAAAAAAAGGCGAAACCGTTCTTACCTACGGGAAGAGAAAAAGAAATCCTAATTAATGCCTGCTCCAGTGGTTTGGGAGGCTGGGACGCCCTCTGTTGTTGCAGACAGTGGGAACTTCAAAGAATCGGCATTAGAAGTGTGTAATAAATGGCAGGTCTGCAAACTGTCTGGAATTCGCCTCTTAATGAGTTTACAACTGTCCAGCCACAATTAAGATTTTCTACAAAAGCCCTTTCATTTGTTTTGTCTGGCTGTTTCAGATAAAGCGGGTCTGCGGAAATAGCTAGCTTTTATTAGCCTCTTCCCCCTGAAATGTAGGCTGGGAGGTGGACGTTTATCTTTAATGAATTTGCCGCTGGAATCTTTCCTATAATTGCTACTGCATGGCAAAGTAGATTACTTGAAGCGTTTGCCGTGGTAGATATCAACTATGCGTAACACGTTTACGAGATTCCTACACCTATTTTATTGCCTGTAATGACAGGAAGGTAACAGCAGATGGCAATGTTGTTCCATGAAAAGAGGGGTGTTGCAGCCTTGAAGCGCGGAGAAAGATTCTAAAATGTCGACTTTCTAATACCATCGTGTTTGGTTTTTAACAAAGGACATAAACACAGCCGTTGGGTGTATAATTTTCGGCTGCGAAACATTTTGCTCTTAAACATATAGGTCTCGATCCAGATTTAGTCAAATTGAGAAGTAGAAACAATGAAACCAATGGACCTTATCACAGTTTTTTCTTTAAATAAGTCATGTAGTGAGACTCTTAGCTTCTCGAGTTTATATGGTAAATCCCTAAGTTTATATATATAACGGTGTTGTGGAATATTTATCATTATTTACGAAAAAGCAGGGTAACTCCTCCACCGACCCAGCAGTTTCAATGCTGTTTATATGTGCATGAGCAATATGTGAACAGACAGGCGAGATACCTATATCTTTATTTATCTGTGATAAAGGCATGTAATCAATGTACTGTACACAATCACATACTTTACCTCAGTGGTTTAATCAAGAGAGGCATAGAGGTATCTGTGTTTTTCACAACGCATGTACCTCCTCTGCAATTATAACAAATTACAAATATATTCGTGTTAAGTAAAGCATATACTGTACAATGTCGTTGGCTAATTGAAATGCATAACTATATACCTGTATAAGTTTATAAAATAGACATCTATATTATCATTTCCATAAACTCATTAACTTTATGACAGAGGATGGAACCTTATGCACACTTCCCTGGGATTAAGCACCATTGAGTACAGTTGAACTTACTTTCAAGAAAAAGCATGCGGGATTCTGCGTGGGGAACTCAGAAGGCCATACTACTTTTCCTGGGGTTTAATCCTAAAATAGGTCTACATAGGACTGGAGCTTACGGAAAATATCCTGAACCTTACCAAGATGACATCCGTAATTTTATTGCTGAGTCTTGGAGCACCAATGTTATTGACTGAAAGGTTGCAGAGTAAGGAAGCAACACCAGTGTGGATTTTTTTTTGTTTGTTTAAAGTGTTTTCTATGGTACTAAAACGTACAATCGGTAACACGAATACCTTTATGAGGACTAACCCCGTAATTCACTATGTAGCGGGCAAGCGTTCAAGAGGGAAGAAATCGCTTGCCTGCAGTTTACCGCGGGATCCTAGTGAAAAGATCCTGTTCTTCAGCCTATGGTTGCACAAAAGAGATTTCATTCTGCTCCGGGTCGAAACCGTTCGGAAAAGACTCAGTATTTTTTTAAAAAAAACAAAAACAAAACAGAGCCCAATCGGTGGCTCTTCGATGAAGTGGTTAGGCTGCAAAAATTTAATTTGAACATTATTTACCGGACGTTGAATTTCCTTAGCAGATGTCTTTGCTGCAGTAAAAAAACTCTGCTTGCCTTCTAAGCAATTTCGACTCTGTGGGACACGATTTAATTATATTATGCAGATGCTCCACTGTCTGATACACGACAGAGCCAAGATGTCTCTGCAAATTCATTCTGGAACTCTTCTTGATCTTTATTTATGATTTCACTTATCAAAAATTAATATGTCTTCTGCTAGCTCCATTCATTCTCCTATGACCCAGTATGTATAAACTTACATCCCTAAGCTAAAAGAAAGGGATTTAACTTCCTCGGCCAATAGCTACCAAAAGGCTAGAAATGTAAATATTGTGCCTCCAAATTTCAGGTAAAGGAAATAATGATGATAATAATGATAGTCTCGATGTTTGGCCCACTGCTATGCACCAGCAATACTGAGAAATAAGTTCAATATGATGATAATGATCGAAATACTGGAAATTACATTTCCCCCCCCAATAATAACAAAAGATTAGGAATTAAATCAACCTCCTGAAGTGAATATATAACTGTGAATTATATTCAATTGTACAGTAATTATTTTAAAAAGAAATCAGGAGGAAAGATCAACCAATAATCTGAAATTATTTCAGTAGTTTGAGGTCTGTATATAGGGTAGAACCCCTATGTTTCACTTATCCTACTGGGAAACTGGATTTATATGAAAGAGTTGCAGCCTATAATAGGATGTTTACACAGTTCTTAGCATCCCGTGTTTTCTTTTAACACATCTTGACAATATCCTGAAACACAAATACAAGCTAAGTAACTCATATAAGATTTAACTGGACAATCAAAAACAAATTAAGAAGAACAAAACCCGCTGAAATCTGATTCCTGGACTGTTTCCATAAATATTTTGCCGGATACCACAACAATCCCCTCTGCAATATTCCAGAGGGTTATAAATTTGTCCTCATTTAAAAAGAATAATAATTTAATTTTACAAATAAAGTACACTGTAAAAAAAAACACAGAAAAAGCTGTGAATTTGGTTCCGGCTTACTGAGTACTATTTTTTAAAGCAATTATATAAATGAAACAGGGAACTTGGGGTAGATAGAATAGCCTGGGGGTTATCCTGGTTTTGTTTAATAAAATCACACTCTGTAAGCCACACATAATATTCTTTATGTGTTAACTCTAACATAAAACAGCAACCAATTTTGTAATGTAATAAATAGCAACCATGCCAAACTGTGTCCTTTTAGATCAGATCAGAGAATACAGGCACCTACTCACCTCAAAAAGGATGACATTTCTGCATTCACATACCAATATACCATCTTCAGGGAAGGGTAAAAACATATTCCCTTTTTACTGTGATGACAGTGGTTCAGACCTCACTGGGAAGGGCGATTTGTTTAGCAACCGATAAATGTGGGTTTTTATTACAGATTAGCCTGCTTTTTATAGGTACGTGATTTCCTCTGTGCAGTTGTGCAAACTTCTTGTAAAATATTCCCATAGTTTCCAAGATATCACTTTAGGAAAGTGGGGCCTTTTTTTAAAAAAAGTAGGATTGAGGAACAAACTGATTTTAAACCTGTGTGCGGCCAGATCCTTCAGGAAGGTTTAGCCCTCGGCCTAAAATCTAGCTGCACTTAAACACTGGTTGATAAAAAAAAAAAAATCTGTCTTGCCTTATCAATACCCAAGTCTAGACTATTGGTTATGTTTGCTCTTGCTGGCTTCTTGCCCCTTATCATGTTGTCACCAGACTAGCAATTAATTCTTCTAAAGCCATCAAATCCATGTACAGTACTTTGATCTGGGTTGCTTTGTGGGTTCCTTTCTCTTCCCTGTTACTCCTTAGCTCAGGATATGTTTAATTTGAAAATTATTTTGTATAGGACTACTGACACCCCCATACCTTCCTTCCTGACACTCATCTTAGTGCACTGATCAGTAATCAATAACCCATCAATGCCGTCAACATTATCACACACATATACAGGGCTCTAGCCTTCTAGGTTAAGCATAACCCAAGCTACCATGCCTAACTCTAAGCCAAGAAACCTGCTTAAGTCAATATCACCTATTACATTTGTTATTTATTGGCAAACCACATTGTTTATTCCAGCCCTATCTTACGAGGACTTCCCTGGATCTCCTAAATGACCCTCCCGCCATACACAATACAGTACTTGCAAGGCACCAAAATGCACCCTTCCTTAAGAAACCAGGCAAAGGATCGCCAGGAACAATTTTAAGTTGTGGGAACCTCTTTGTACACCCAGGACACCAAACTCTATAATTTAAAGGGAGAATTTCCGGGGCAATTCCATTGTATCCCTTCCAGTTTATGATGTGCAATATAGCAGGGCAGTAAAAGCTGTCTTTCCCAAAACTCTCTGTCTGAGGGAAGGAAACTGATTTTACGATCCGTTTAAAAGAAGGGTTTAGGGGCGCAACATCCTCAATGGGATGTAGCCTGATTGCTAGGTGGGGGGGGGGAATAAGTGTTTACAAAGGCAGGAGCCTCTTCCATGATCTGGAAGGACCCGTCCCATCGACACCAGCCCAGAGGAATCCAAGAGGTACGTGTTCTATACCGGCGGCGGGGAGAATGGAGCAGCTTCCAGGATCCCTGCCCCATTCAAAGATATTTTCGTGTGTGTGTGTGTGTGTGTGTCTGTGTATCTGTGCGCGCGCGTGCGTTTTAAGGTGCTGAAAGCCATTCATTTCATTTTATTTTTCCCCATTGGGCACACGTTAATTCTTTATTTTAAGAAACGAGGGACCATGATGGTAGGCAAATATATATATAAATACATATATATAAAACAAACGGAGGAGATAGATACATGTATATAAACAAAAATGAGATATACTGTATAAACAATATATATATATAAACAAAAATCATGCGATGGAACAGATCCCTGCTCATCCAAGCGTAGTAATTGCCTACATCCTAATTTTTAAAAAAGGAGTCCCAGGATCTAATCTTCTTTGGAAGCTGGCAAAAGAAGACACACACACACCCTTGCGCTGTTTCAATGAGGCATCCAGAGATGTCTATCAGTTCGCCTTCAGAGCCTCCAGACATATCGGGCCCCTTTTAGCTTTGAGACGGAAAGAGTTGGCTAGACGGAGAGAAGGAGAGAGAGAGAGGAAGGAGCGTTCTTCTTCTCACTCATCTGCCCAAAGTGATTAGACGAATGCAGTCTGCCAAGGTCTTGTTAGATCTGCGGGCAAATTACGAAACCACCTCTGTAAGCATTTGTAGAATGATTACCGGCAGACAAACAGACAGACACACGTATGACATAATTCAGTAATGGGTATGTAATGTTGGCGATCCCTGCCAGAAACAAAGCCTACATGAAAAGCAGAATGATTTCTTCTCCACCCGTGTCTATATCTACTCTCTAGATCTAGCATTATGAAACAGATATCTCTGTCTGCTTTACAGATCATAGACCGAGAGATGCCCGTGGCCTGGCGTGCGCCTGTATCCGTGTGTAGACTCTCTCTCTCTCTCTCTCTCTCTCACACACACACACACACAGAGGCGCAGAGATAAGAGCATGAGGGAAGGACTAATGCGTCGTTCGAGTTTATTGAGGACGGAGGCTGTTTTTATGGGCGAGTTTTTTTGTGCCTTGTTTTGGGTCTAACTGCCACCACTGCCCCCCATTTAAGAGAACAGGAAAACTCAGAGGTTGACAATAATTAAGATGACGACAGATAATCAAGAAAAAAATAGCAGTGGTGTAAAATGCATTGAATCTCAGAATGGAATTGATCACTTCAGCCCTCCCGTCCCCCCATGAACAATTCAGAAAATATAATACGTAATTAGACTGGGAAAATCGAGAAAAAGTACAGGAGCTCCCCTCTCCCTTTTTAAATATATATATATATATTTAATATATATATACACATATATACATATATATTATGTAAGAAATCAGAAGGGAGTCAGCTGTCCGTTTCGAAACGCTAGTCTTGCATTTCATATGGAAGCGGAAAATCCTCCTTTTAATTCGGAGCCGCTCCTCTCCCGCCGGCCATGTGGCCGCCTTAACGGGGGGGGGGGCGGTGG